CGCGCGCGTGCGAGTGTGTGTGAGAGCGTGTGTGTGTGTGTGTGTGTGCGCGCGCGCGCGCGCGCGCGCGCGCGCGCGCGCGCGTGCGGACGCCTACCTCTCTCTCTCACACACACACACACTCTCTCTCGCGAGAGAGAGCGAGAGAGAGAGAGAGAGAGAGACCCTCTCCTTCTCTCTCCCCCACCGCGTGTGTGAGAGATAGATTGTTTTTTTTTGCCCCCGCGCGCGCGCGCGCGCGCGCGCGCGCGCACCCCCCCCCCCCCCCCCCCCGACCCACACACACGCGCTCGCGCACACACTCGCGCGCGCGCGCGCGCGCGCGCCCTCGCGCTCACTCTCAATCATATACAAGTATATATGTCTCTCTCTCTCTATATCTGTCTCTCTATCTGTCTGTGTATTTATATATATATATATATATATATATATATATATATATATATATATATATATATATATATATATATATATATATATATATATATATATATATATATATATATATATATATATATATATATATATATATATATATATATATATATATATATATATATATAGTTAAATGATAGGAAACACTTGGGCTAGATTCCCTTCCGAACCGTAATGTCTAGACTCCTAGTCTAGATATAAAAGATATTTAATGAGATTTGTCAGTTGTAACCAAACAAATATCGAAGATGCATCATAAAGGGAGAACCAAAGTGGGCAAACCATACATCCTACTGTGTTGGTTAGAAGTAATATGGAATTTCTTCACCAAGTCAAAAACAATGGCAGTGAAGAACAACATATGACAACTGTTAATCATATTATTGCAGCATTTACTCCGTATAAATTCAAGCCATACGCTGTACTTTGCATCCCAAGTAAACAAGTATCTTAACTAATCCGAAGTTTGATAGCATAAAGAGTACAGATGCGATGTGTTAGCAAGAATCAAAAGCACACTGAATTCAAATTCATTTAACAATGAGAACTACTCGTAATGTATAGTGTTTGAACCCAGAAAAGAATCCCCTCCAAAGTAACAGGATAAAATTGGAAATCATGTCATGCGGAGCATCACCGAATTAAGATAATCATAATAGAACATGCAAACTGGTACTAAGACAGCATGATAAATCTATCCCAAATAGAAGAGAAGACATACACAAAATATAAAAACCAACAAGAACCACCTATATTGAAGTTATGTATTAAAACTCCACAAGCCCTAAATCTTAATTCTAAATGAGAAGGGATAGATTGATAAAAAAAATTCAGTACCGTCCAATAACCAAAACAGCGCAAGGAATGCAAACATAAAATTATGCAGACATAATTATATCTAAAAATACACATCAACAGAGTGTAAGGAATACAAACAAAAATTATGCAGCCATAGCTATATCGGGGACAGATATGTACATAGAGGGTTTTGACATCATACTTTTTACAAGCACCCTTTCTGAACTTCACCGCCTGATAAGTGGTTGCACCTCTATCATACCAGGACCTGGTATAGTTCGGATCCGATTTCCACTTCCTTTGATGTTTCAAACTCTGAAAACCACCATCAAAATGAACAGTGAGAATTCCAAATGTCCAGGTTACAGAACAACTAAATCGTAAATAGTACCGAATAGAACAAAAAAATGAACAACAAATATATCCATGTAACATACCGGTCTCTCTGCATTCAAGTACCAAGGCGCAGAGGACATATACTGGGGAATATGAGGGTTAATTTCCTTTCCATCCTCATCCACTTCGGCAGGTGCAAGGCCAGCCTTACGGGCCTCTTCTAATTCAAGCTGTTTCCTGTGGTTCCGTCTAGCTTGCACTATACCT